CCTGCCAGTCCACGAGAACTAGCCATTGGGTCGCCAGATACACGGAGGTTGCATCTCGTCGGCTCTCCATTTTGCCTAGGTGAGGTCAAGTGAATGACCACACTAGGATCCTGTATGTGTGATTCGGAGACACAGCATACATCAATGGTACGAGATTCTAGGGTTTTAGCCAAAGAGACCTGTTGACCGATTTGACAGCGTTGCGTACGTTGAAGGAGCGAGGTTTCAGTAGACCTGGGATAGTGTTTTGCGCACTAGAATCGTTGGCTTTGGTGACACTTGAGGATGAAGCCAATAGAGGAAGTTTAGAGTTGAAAGTCGATATAGGAAGAATAATAGCGATTGAAGAGGGAGGTTGATTATGAATATAGTGGTCTTGAGTGCTGTCAGAGGTATGAGGGTGGTTATCACTTCCCGATTGCCCACACCGTGGAAGGGTTCTTCTGGAGGTATCTGAGAAGGAAATTGAATTAGAGGTGATCTTAGTGACCGGAGAGCGTGACCGCAGTGCCCAAGGGACAACTGCTTGAGATTGGTCACACACGACCTTTTGTGAGTAATTTTCGTGTTAGCTCCGTACTTGTTGAGACCTTACCGCCGAAGACGGATATCCGTGGGATAAGGCGAGGTGTACATTTTTAGGGTTGACCTCTTCTAAACCCACCCCTCCTTGTGGGAAGGCAGCATCGCTGTCATGTTGGTTGTCTGAAGGAAACGCCTTACTGCTGTCACACCTCAGTACAGTCAGCAGTACGACTTCTCCCTCGGACATTGGGTTTGCTGTTTTTAGTTTTACCGTACTTCAACCGATCTGTCTGGCATGGTAGGACCTTGAGGAACGATTGTTCCAGCCAGTATAGCTCGATTGGTTCATGACGATAGGCAAGCCCGACCACCACATCAAGGTAACAACAACGAACGGGAACATTTCGATACTGATAGCTGAATCTCCCCACTTTAGGTCGTACCAGGGCATTTGGGAGCCTAATCTAGTGCTACCATTCCCTTTTAAATAATAAATATCGTGCTAAGCAGAAACAGTTTCATTATATTTTTCACTTAGTATTGTAAATCCTTATATTTGTTCAATACTTAACGTAATCAGTCGGCAATCTGTGTCCATAAGTATGACATGTGTTTTGCACCTTCTAATTATAAAGTACTTTTACAAGACTGTCAGAAACCTGTGTCTTCAGTGATTCTCAGTAGTGCGCTGGGTGGCTGTGTAAAAGTGTTGGTGTTGGCATGAGTGCTGCAATCAATTCACGTATAGTAAAAGCCAGAGCAACTGATGCCAATTTGGGCCATTTTCGGCGTTATGTCATTTTTTATATGAAAGTTCTAAAGATACTTCCTACAATAGTGATTTAATCATTACAGTATTAATTTTGGTGGCTTTCTCAAATATCGTATTTTTCATATTCCATCCTCTTTGTTTCTTTTCCAGCTGGCTGGCGAATTCTTGGAACCCTTGTGTGTTAACCCAACCTTTCTCACGTGTCACCCATGTATAATGAGTCCTTTGGCTAAAGAACATAGATCTCGTCCAGGTTTGACGGAACGCTTTGAATTGTTTATGCTACATAAAGAACTGTGTAATGCATATACAGAGCTCAATGATCCAGTTGTACAACGTGAACGATTCTTGGAACAGGCTAAAGTAGGTGTTGTCTTATTTTTAAAAATCTCTTCACAAATATTTTTTACTGTTTTATTCAGCTCTTATATATTTGTGTTTCTGATAGAGTTCAATGCATTATACTTGCTTTTGTTGTCTAATGTAGGACAAGGCAGCAGGCGACGCTGAAGCCATGGTGACGGATGAACAGTTTCTCACGGCTTTAGGTTACGGTCTTCCGCCAACTGCAGGTTGGGGTCTCGGTATTGATAGATTAACTATGTTCCTGACAAATACAAATAACATTAAAGAAGTTATCTTGTTCCCTGCTATGAAACCTGAAGCCAACAGTACTGCACCCCTAAATCCAATGTCTGAAAAGCTACAAGATAATAAGTCTTCTGTTTCTGTTAATAGTCATATGCCAGCTGAATTGTTAAGCAAAACTGAGAATTTACCAGATAACACTGTACTTTTGGATAGCAATAATTTATCGCCTAAACCATCATTATCACCTCAAATCAAAGTATCACCAACACAAACTTCGAAAACACAAAATTCTCCAAGCCAAGAAACTAGTGAAACGCCACCTTCCAGTACAGGTAAAAGCGGAAAGAAGAAAAAGGGACGACGATCATAATTATGACTGTTACTGAGAAATCTGAGGTAGACAATAGTGGTGTATTGTAAATGCATTTCACAAGAATAACCTTTTGCTTATGCTTTTTTGGTACAAATAAAATTTCACATGATCTACCTAAGTTTTGTGTTGTGTTGTTTCTTGTGTTCGTCTTAAAGAATCATTTTATCCACGTTTATCTTTGTAATAGAATACGTGCTTGATTTTTGTTACATAAGCGAATTAACACTGTCCGAGCATTTGTCACATATAACACTTTTAAAATGTAACAAATTACTACTTATACGACAGATATTTAGGATACAATCATGTTTACTTTATCGGTTTCATGGAGTGTGTAATTGAAATTTCCAGATAAGCGTTCGATTACTTATATGTTAATCGATGTTTATGTCGAACAGTGTGTTATCGTTGAAGTAGTGCTATCTTACCATCCATACTTATGGAGGCAGATAAACAGTGTAAGATCTGGTAGTTGTCTGTGTCGGTCTAGATTACTATTCTCCACAACATAGTAATCAATTTATTTACTAGGTACTTGCGTATGAGCACACTTTAAATGTATGGGCTACCGACACTTGCGGTTGTCCAAACTGAATTAGAAAGAGTTGATTTCTAGTTAGAGAATTAATGGTCAAAGGTTGAACGCCATTTTTTCTCGACATAGAGCTAATCGATAGAATGTAAAACAAATTTAAACAAACCGTTCATACCAACGGTAATAGAAAATAAGCATCGCAAAAGTATATCACAAGTAATTAAATCAAGGGATGAGGGATACGAGGTAACAGAGTTGATATTGACAGAAAGAGACGGATTCAATAATCCATCCTATTAATCTATGGTCAAGAACCATTTTTTATTATTTCGCCCGACCCATGTAAGAAAATTCACATGTCTAGACGCAAATCAGACCAACATTTATTAAATTAACTATATGATGATATATTATAATTGTTCAAGCCCACTTAGGGCTTGCGACCAAGGATGCTGTTTGATTACAATTATTGCTATAAGCCACATCTTATTAAGGAAATTTATGGAAAATGTCATTTGACGAATTACATTATGGTTTTTCATGAAAGAGAATTCTGTTGATTTAAAACCACTAATTTAATTTGTATGATATATCCCGTACTTTTGTGGGGTATTTGTGGTGATTGTAGTATTCATTTGAAATCACGAGTCAATGTAAGCTAGACCGCTATTGCTTCCAAGTTTTCAAGAGTAGTCTAGCTTAGATTGGCTCGTGATCGCAATTATGAAAATATTCCGTATTTATTAAAAATAATAAGCAATCTAATGCAACGTGGCAAACAACTACACTCTTACATACCATAGTCTTATTGTGTTCGAATCTCATTGAAGGAGATTCAGAATTGGCAAAATAATTATCTTTTATCTGTATCATAACATCGTTTTAAACAGTTATTAAAGTAATAATATGGTAGTTAACTGAAAACCATTACTTGTGCATCAATTTAAATTTTGTGAGTGTTTTGTATTGTGTTTTCATACGTGATAAGCATAACCAAATATTTTCAAGGTTGTCATACTACAAAGCCACTGTCTGTTAATCTACAAGCAATTGAATAGGAAGTGTGTGCTCAGAAGCAGAAGTCTTGTGACTTACCATCGACTATCACATGCCAGGTAGAGTTTCTAGTCGGTGTTGTACTTCACGTAGTCACTTTTTTTCTAACTCACTGAACATGCATATCTACTTCCAACTACCTTCAAAACTGACCTACTTTTTACTAATTAGATCATTGAAATGTCATAACAGTAATTGCAAAGAATTATTCAGTTCACTCAAATTAGATTTCAGCGTGTCAGTGATTTTTTTCACTATCACCTAATTAAAGGTAATCAATATGGAAGTTTTGGAGCAACTTTCCAAGCTAGTTTGTAATCACATTCAGTCACCTAGTCAGTATCCGGTGTTGTTTACATTTATAACTTTATTTGTAATGTAGATTAATTACCACTCAATATGAGCAGTGAGCTACTGTTTCATTTCAAATTTGTTAACTCTTATTGCATTAGTTTCCTATTAGCATTTTTAAAAGTTATATGTCGAGCCATTAGGACCTAGCAGTTTGGAAACTCCAGTTTCGGCTTATTGAAGAGAGGCTGCAGGACAGAGTAAGTTTTTCGGATTAAAGACAAATTTGTCGACAAGCTTCATCTGGCACTGAAATCTGTCTTTTCTTATTGTCTTGACATATATATTGTTTGAATTGCATGTTTACGCTGCTGTTACCAGTTCGTTTGTATTCCGACTAGAAGTGGCTTTAACCGTATTAGCAAACGAAGAGTAAGGTTCTTGATGACTGTAGGTTGCTTGTAGATTTTGGGGACAAGTCGAGGAGCAGACTGCTTGTAGCGCATTGAGAAATCTCAAAGAGCATCCAGATCAAGTTTATTGTGGGCTTCACATTTCACCTTTTACGACGAACTGCCATCGACTGTAGAAGTATTATTATAGCAACTCACGTTCAATTGAGTTTGCCCTCATCTAATTCGTTTAAGCCCTTTTGTTAACCTAGTAAACGGACAAGGTTATCTGTACTTTAACAACTTATTCTATCTTTATATTTGTTATGCTTGTATGAATAAGCATGCTTGAACACTGTTGACTGCCCACGCATATATTCATCCCACTAACCTTATTATTATTCGCTTAATCGATTCGATAGTCCATTCACTTTTCTATATATATACATGTATATTTAACACTCCACACATTTTCCACACATTCTCACACAATCACGGTTTGCTGACTCATTCGCCTCTCTGCTCTGTGGTTTGAGTTGCCTGCTAATAAAACTGTAGTAGCTGCTTCTCTTTGCCTTCTGATTTCAACTACCGTTGGGGTTTATACGATAACGGTTACGAGGGTGATTGGTCAACGAAGCACAGCCACTACAGAATTGGCGATCCCGACGAGCGAACACGAAACAACTTTCGACGATATAATCAAATTCCCAAAATTCAACGCACTTCATCTCAACTTGGATTATCATATGGACTATAATTTTAACTGTGGATTTATTATATTACTATTTTAATTACACGTACATTATTTCACAAACATTATTGAATTAACGATAATAATCATATTAAATAACGATTATTGACAAACAATTGATATATTGGTGCAATTTAGTAAGTCTGTTCTATGTTATAAATTGTACCATTTGTTATTATCATTGTTTTTGGTCCGTCCATTTTTCTTTATGACAGTTACATTATATTCGTGTGCTACTTAATATTTTTTATAAACATGTCTTCCGAAAACACTGTATCAAGTTTACAGCAAACCCAGTCCGTGAGGTCTCTTAATCTTCCTGCCCCCTCTTTTAATGTCACCGACCCAAAACTTTGGTTCATTAGACTTGAAAATTATTTTTTGGCTAACCGCATTCACTTACAAAGAGATAAATTCGGTCTCACAAGCACACTCCTTCCAGACGAAGTAGCAAATAGCGTACGAGAGGCGTTAGCAAAACCAGACATCGAGAAGCCGTACGATGTACTAAAGCAAGAAGTAATTAAAACTCTCTCTCTAAGTGATCAGCAAGCTGTCGAACAACTTCTTAACCAAGTACAAATGGGAGATAGAACCCCATCACAGCTAAAAACGTATATGAAAAGCCTGTTGGGCGATAGGCAAATAGACAATAACCTGTTTTATCAACTGTGGCTTAGGCGACTTCCGTCAAGTGTACAGCAGATCCTAGCCGTCGGAGATACGGACGCCGATATAGACAACATAGCAAAAATAGCCGATAGAATATACGAAAGAACCAAACAAACAAGCCCTCCATTACACAACGTGACGGTAGATGATAGACTTAGTACTTTACAAAAAGAGGTAAGTATTTTGTGCCGCAAGCTCACAGAATTAACACAGAGCGAAATAAGACCACGAAGATCATCACGAGATCGCTCGCGCGACAGAAACCGATCACCTTCTAGAAGACGCACAGCTCCCTTGATATGCTGGTATCATCAAATGTATGGCTATAGAGCTAGGAAATGTTTACAACCTTGTAGATTTAACATAACAGGTAAACGATACCCACGATTGTCAATGGCAACGGCATCAAAGAACATAATGCCTGCAAATAGCCGCCTGTTTTATATACAGGATCGAACGACAGGTGCTCAATTCTTAGTTGATACTGGAGCGGAAATCAGCGTAGTACCTCCCGTAGGCGAGGAGAGAAGAAATGTTAATGCGTCACTAGTGTTAAGAGCAGCAAACAAATCAGACATTAAGACATACGGCAAACGAAAGTTGTCCCTAGATTTCGGACGAGGCGCTTCATACCGCTGGGACTTTGTCATAGCAGATGTATCAGTGCCCACAATTGGCATCGATTTCCTATGTAACTTTGATCTGCTAGTAGACTCGCGACGTCACAGACTTATAAATGGTAGTCACACCACTTCGATAAGAGGAACACTTACAGAAGCCGTTTCCATGAATCTAGTGATAGATAAAAGCCACGGTGATCCATATAAATTGTTGTTAAATGAATTTCCTGAACTCGTGAAAGTAACGTACAATAAGGCAGATCTCAAACACTCCATTCAGCACCATATCATAACGAATGGACCACCAATTAATGCAAGGCCAAGAAGATTAGACCCAAAAAGACTAGCAATAGCAAAACAGGAATTCGACAAGTTGATGAAGCTGGGCATTATAAGGCCTTCGAACAGCCCGTGGGCATCCCCATTACATATGGCCCCGAAAAAGAATGGCGAAGTTAGGCCATGTGGAGACTACAGAGCACTTAACAAACAAACAGTAGCCGATAGATATCCTATACCACATATCCACGATTTTACTTACAGTATAGAAGGCGCTACTATCTTCTCAAAGATCGACTTAGTTAGAGCCTACTATCACATTCCTGTTGCTCCACACGACATACCAAAGACAGCGGTAACGACCCCGTTTGGACTGTACGAATTTCTGCGCATGCCTTTCGGACTGACGAACGCAGCGCAAACCTTTCAACGGTTTATCGACCAGGTCATCAGAGGTTTACCTGGAGTTTACGCATATATCGATGACTTACTAGTAGCCAGCGCCACTAAGGATGAACACATACAACAGTTACGACAATTATTCATGCGACTGCGAGAACATGGCGTTTCCATAAACATTGAGAAGTGTGAATTTGGAAAGGAATCCTTGCAATTCCTAGGTCACGTTGTAACTTCTCAAGGCATTACACCTGTCTCAACAGAAGTCGACGCTATCAAAAATTATCCGCTACCCGACTCATGGAAGAAGTTACGACGATTCCTCGGGTTAGTAAATTACTACAGACGATTTATCCCGAATTGTGCGGCGATATTGCAACCATTAACTGACTCGTTAAGAGGACACGCCCGGAAATTCCAATTATCACCAGAGGCGATACAGGCATTCGAGCAAGCCAAAAAAGCATTAAATAAAGAAACGACATTAACTAGACGAAAGAGTGAAACACCACTAGCTATCATGACTGACGCTTCGGATGTGGCGGTAGGAGCCGTTTTACAGCAGTTAGTAAACGGCACTTGGGAACCCCTCTCATTTTTTTCGAAAAGACTGAACCCTACACAAACAAGGTACAGTACTTTTGGAAGAGAACTACTAGCAATTTACTTAGCCATAAAACATTTTCGTCATATGGTAGAAGGTATAAGTTTTACCGTCTTCACAGACCACAAACCACTTACTAAAGCATTAAGCGCAAAGCAAGACAATTATGCCCCGAGAGAGATCCGGCAGTTAGAATTCATTTCACAGTTCACTTCCGACATACGATATATTGAAGGACAGGAAAACGACGTAGCTGACGCTCTGTCCAGAGCAATGATAAACGCACTTATGGCAAGTGGAATCGATTACAATGGTCTAGCAAAGTTGCAAGAGAGAGACACCGAATTAAAGAAGCTCAGATCCGAGGGTACGACATCACTAGTGCTCGAAGAGGTGCGGTTCGGTAACACGAAAGTAACATGTGATACATCGACAGGCCGACCGCGACCATTTATCCCGACATCATTGCGACAGAAGATTTTTGAAAGTATGCACAATATGTCGCATCCCGGAATAAAAGCCACGATAAAACTAATCAGTGAACGATTTGTATGGACAAACATGAACCACGATGTACGTAATTGGACACAGGCATGCATAAAGTGTCAAAAAGTCAAAGTACATCGTCACACTAGCTCCGCAGTGGGTCCATTTTCACACCCAGATACTAGATTTGAGCATATACACATCGACATTGTAGGACCACTGCCGGTTTCGAATGGATACAATTATATATTTACATGCATTGACAGATTTACTCGATGGCCGGTGGCAGTACCGATAAAAGATACCTCAGCCGAATCGGTAGCCAAAGCATTAGTTGAAAATTGGATTTCTTACTACGGCGTACCAGCGATCATCACAACTGATAGAGGAGCTCAATTCGAAAGTCGACTCTTTCAACAGCTTACAGAACTCCTCGGTATTAAACGAATTCGAACGACATCTTACCATCCAATGGCAAACGGAATGGTCGAACGTCTACATAGGCAATTAAAAGCATCTCTTACATCCGTCATTGTAAACAATGATTGGGCCAATAAGCTTCCTCTAGTAATGTTAGGTTTAAGAGCAACAATTAAACAAGATATAGGATGTTGTCCAGCCGAGTTGGTATACGGAACTACTCTACGGTTACCCGGAGAATTTTTCACTTCGAATAAATGTGTTCCGACTGATGTAGCCAACTACGTACAACGCTTGAAAAAGCACATGAGCGATTTAAAAACAACACCACCCAGACCGCAACAACGACAGGTATTCATACCTCAGGAGCTACACAAAAGCACTCATGTATTCATTAGAAGAGATAAAGCACAACCACCCCTGCAACCGAATTACGACGGTCCGTTTAAAGTGACAGCGAGGACAGATAAAACGATTACCATAGAAAAAGCTGGGAAAACAGATGTAATCAGTATCGATAGAGTGAAACCAGCTTTCATCGATAGCGATATTCAGTCAACAAGTACAAAATCCTCGAAGATTGTCACACCGACGAAACACGAGTCTCAAGAATCAACGACGCTAACGCAGCAAAAAGGCGAGACTCCAGTAACAACGAGATCTGGCCGCAGAGTAAGATGGCCTCAACGCTACATCGCTACAATTTTATATTGATAATTTACTATTATTTTGAATATTAATTATAACTCTTCCACTTCATTGTATACATATACATTATTAAGCCTATATTATACACTATAAAACTAGGCATATATTATGTACCCTACACTTATATGTAAAAAAAAACAAACGATAACACATTTCTTCTATTCCCTACTATTATTTTATATAGCCTCACGGACAAGCACAAACCACATACACAACACATTTAGCTTCATCTTAATTTTGTATAAGTACTTTTTCCAAACAATTGTAACTACTCGATTCAGTTTACTATTTTTTGTGCAAACACAGACATTTTTTTCTATATATCTTTGTTTGCAGGGGGGAGCTATTATAGCAACTCACGTTCAATTGAGTTTGCCCTCATCTAATTCGTTTAAGCCCTTTTGTTAACCTAGTAAACGGACAAGGTTATCTGTACTTTAACAACTTATTCTATCTTTATATTTGTTATGCTTGTATGAATAAGCATGCCTGAACACTGTTGACTGCCCACGCATATATTCATCCCACTAACCTTATTATTATTCGCTTAATCGATTCGATAGTCCATTCACTTTTCTATATATATACATGTATATTTAACACTCCACACATTTTCCACACATTCTCACACAATCACGGTTTGCTGACTCATTCGCCTCTCTGCTCTGTGGTTTGAGTTGCCTGCTAATAAAACTGTAGTAGCTGCTTCTCTTTGCCTTCTGATTTCAACTACCGTTGGGGTTTATACGATAACGGTTACGAGGGTGATTGGTCAACGAAGCACAGCCACTACATTATCTACTTCCTTAGATATCAAACAGAATAACAATGAAATAGCAACTCATTAAATGAATATAGAATTCATTACCAGTATTATTTAATGAAAGCAATAGGTATATGCAACACCTCGACTGACTCGGTAAATTGTTGAACAGTTTTAATGCTAACGATATTTTTCACAACTGAACAGATTTAAGATGACGGAATCATTTTTTAGTTGAATGTTTAGATTACGAAATTAAAACGTACTTATTTACAAAATAATTCAGAGATGGTATAAGTGATCAGATCACAGTTTTGTTTGATCAGAGTTTTTCTGACCGTTGAAAAAACTCAAATATATGAGCATATTAAAAAACATATACTTTTGCTTTTCCGACACAATGAAAACAAACGAGATAAAACAAGATGTTTTTCAGTATCATACAAGCAGTGATCGTTTGAATGTACTGTAAACCTCACTTTGCTTCCGGAGTACGTTTTTTTGGGTTGGTTGTCAGATACCGACGAAGTTCCTTAGTAATTGTTGATTATCGTGTAGGGTATCATAACTACGAGGCTCGTGTAGTTCGGATGTACAGAAGGAAAATCGATATTATTAAGGTATCCTCCTGAATACGTGGCTTTAAAACGGTCAGTGATAACGTTAACGTTAGCTCCGTTTTATTGATGATCTGGTATTTAAGTTTGTGATAAGGGACTTTGAGGGACTATTCATATGCCATTTCGACAGTTCGTCGTAACGAATCGTGACGTACAAAATGTGTGCACTATGCCGTAAGGTAAGTTGGACGAATACATCAGTTGACTGTGGTCGAGTGGAAACAGGCTTAGCTGAACGCATGCAGTTTGTAAACCTACTCAAGTACGATTTTAAACCATTGAAGAATTTGAAAGATACACAGATTATCTTGGAAGTTGGAGTGTCGTTCTGTAAACGAGTTGTGCGCAGTGTATCCAATATGAGCTTTCACTGCTCTGCGAATACCGAGTAGAACGAGTTGAATTGCGCCACTCCACCATGAGACGTTTGCGGATTAGAGTGAAGCTTTCAACTGTCTTTGAAGTCGTTCTATTAACCCATTAGCTTGTGGGTGGTAGGCAGTCTTTCGGAATTATATGACGCCTGGTAGTGTAGTACGACAAGGAAGAAGTTCAAATTTGAACTGGCGTCCACGGCCTGTAGTGACGGTAGAAGGGCAGCCGAAGTTTGCCACCCACTGTTTGACGAATGCACGGGCCACTGATTCAGCATTAATGTCCTTGATAGGCACTGCTTATGGCTGCCGAGTGAAACTGTCTACACACTTTAAGAAGGGCGTCTATCTAAATCTGGTAACGATCCTACGAAATCAAGATGAATCTAGCCGAAACAGGCATCAGGATTTGTTAAAGCCCTAGCAACCAACAAAGGGGAAAGTGTGTTAGAAAATAAAGTTCGCCATCATGGGGAACCCAATCTCCCTGTTTTGCGGAAGTCGCTATAGAGAATTTCGGGGAAATGGAACAAAGACCTCAAAATTTCCCCAGAATCTTATAACGCTCAGGGGAAATCTGTCTATATTTACTGACAAAACAAAAATTTCCGACAACTTTGAGGAAACCCATCTACGTCCTGTGATCGAACCCCAACAGTTTACCGCTTGTTGGGGATATTTTGACCGATTTCTGACTATCGCAAATATCGTATTCGGAAAAGCGCAGAAAAACCTGGTGATTTAATAATAAGTGCCCAAAAGTTTTCGCGCATCTATTTCATTTTTTTGTTAACTCCGCAAAGTGAACACAGTCCCAAAGCAATAAAACATAGTTGGTGACAAGAACCAGTTTACCGCTGTAGATCAGCATTGCCGTAATTAGAAGACTGATGTGTTATATATGAAAATGTTTCAGTTTCAGTTTGGAAAGAACAGGAGGCTTGATGGCCTGTGTTAGTCCAGGCAATTGTGTTCTCTCAGTTGATCCAGCTTTCTTTTGAAAGAATCTTCGGATGGAGCTTCAATCACGTGTTGGAGTAATGAATTCCACTCGTTGATGATTCGGTGGGAAAGTCGATAATCAGCTGACAAGTAATTTGTTCTGGGCTTGTGAACTTTTTTGGAGTGCCCTCGTAAATTCTATGTTTTGGAAGACAAGAAAAACGAGTGCATAGCAGGTGCAAATTTATCACTAACCAATTTGAAAACTGTAATCAAGTCGCCTCTAGTTCTACGATATGACAAAGGGAATAGGTTTAGCTTGGCCAGTCGAGCATCATACGGAAGCTTCGCTATTCCGGGAATCAGCTTAGTTTCTGTTCTCTGGACCTTTTCCAAAAGCTCACTGTCTTTTTTTAAGCAGGGGCTAGCCGCTCGTATGCAGTACTCAAGTTTAGGACGTACGAACACTGTGTACAAAGTCAAAACCGTTTGAGCGTCGACATGAGTAAAAGCCCTACGTATTGACCATAAAGTTCTAAAAGCTTTGGCGGCTATTGCACGGCAATATGCAGTAGTCTTCAGATCTTGGCTAACGATGACTCCTAAGTCATTATGTGTTTGGACAACAGGTAGCTCCGTGTTATTCATCGTGTATGTATCTGTACCTTGATGACTGATATGCATCACAACACACTTGGAAATATTTATTGGCAGCTGCCAGGTATGAGACCATTCGGATAATTTCTTCAGGTCATTTTGAAGTTCTAAGCTATCACCCTTACATCGTATCGTTCTCCAAATCTTGACATCAACAGCATATAGCAAGACCGATGATGATGGTAAGCGAGGAAGGTCATTTACATACAAGAGGAATAGCACTGGCCCTAAAACTGTACCCTGGGGCACTCCACTAAGCACAGTTTCCCAGCTAGATAACTTTGAGTTTACCCGTACTCTTTGTTGGCGCCCAACTAGGAAGTCTTCTATCCACGTCAATAGATTGCCTCTAATTCCGACTTTTTTAGCTTACATAACAGCCGGTTGTGCGGAACTTTGTCAAAAGCTTTGCTGAAATCAATGTAGGCTACGTCTACAGGTAACTTTTGGTCTTTAAGAGCGCACCAGATTTCACGAGCGACTAATAAGTTAGTGAGACAAGAATAACCTATTCTGATACAGTGCTGTTTCTCCGAAAAGATCCGGTTTACATCGAGGTACTGAAACAGCTCCTTCCGAATAATCTTTTCTAAGATTTTAACAACTACACTAGTAAGGCTAACAGGTCGGTAATTATCAGGTTTATGTTTCGTACCTGTTTTGGAGACAGGACTTACTATGGCGTTCTTCCAGTCTTTTGGTAAACGACCCTGCGTTACAAATAGCTTAAAGCATATACTTAAAGGGTTCGCAACGAAGTTAGGTAATTCCCTTAGTAGCCTAGGATGCAATTCATCGGGCCTCATTGATTTACCTATGTCAAGCTTATTAAGCATGCCAAAGACATTGAGTTCTTTAATGGTCACGCTATCCAGTGTATGTGTGAGGGGGGGTTAGTATACGCTGACGGGAAGGGTGCTTTTATGGTATACACATTGCTAAAGTAGTTTGAGAACACTTGAGCCTTACCAAAGTCATCTTCCACTAATGATGCGGCAGTACTGTCTCCACTTAGTGTTTATTAAAATCTAAAAAAGCATAAATAATGTATCAATAAATAACTTCTTCCAATTCTTTACAGTTGCTCGTGTTTTGATTAAGTACATGAAATTGATGTTGAACATTCACTCACTGTGTTCTACAAAAAGAAAAAAAGTACTCTTTAGTAAGCAAACAAATGTCGTGAAAATCATCCAACTTATGAATCTTGAGTGCCATATAAAAGGTTGGTGACATACCAACGGTGTAACAATATTGAGAATAAACGGAACAAAAAAATTTACAGTTACGTCTGTTAACACTTGCGAAGCCAGCTGAAAGCAAGATGGACGGGAAATAATTGTTTCACTATGTTTATCACAAACTAAATATCAAAACAAAAACCGGTATTTAATCAAAGATCTCAAGTTCATTTAGCTCACCTTTTCTTCAAATCACCATCCACGCTTATTGACTTTATCTCTTGCGTCGCGCAAGAAAGCCTGGCTTGCAGCATCGATGGCATGCGTTATTTCTTTCTCTGAACAAGTTGCACTTCAGAATAGTGAACACAGAACACCCAAAAATAAATTCACACAAACAGTTCGTTGTTCAGCAGCCATTTGCTGTGGATGACTACAACTTGCTTTTTCTCTGTGTCATTAACGAAGATGTACTGTCTTGATTGATGTCAAAAATTGAAAGTTTATTACATTCATGAACATTCGTTAAAAGTTCCTGGTGAACAAGACCAAGATCACCAGTGCATTTTTAAAGCTTTGAAGATAAAATTACAATCAATATATATTATTTTTAAAATTACCATGAACTTGGTTCACGAATACGTTATCGAAGTTGATGTTTTGTTTTAGTACATCAAATAGACAGGACAATGAGTCGCCATCTGTACACAATTTTTTTAAATATTCACGCCATTTAGGTAGGGTGTTTGTCGTTTCGATTACTTAATGAAATGTTCATAGTTGGGATATGTGGTGTTGAATTAAAAGCATCCGATTCCAACGAAATTTCTGCAGCGCTTGTAACTAGGCTACAAGAGTTGCTGACAGTAAGCATTTACCCGAGCTGCCAACTTTGGGGAAACTCTTGAGGTCAAATTACCTTGACCATGGTTAAAGGGGAATTTTGGGGAAATATTGGGGAATTCCCCCAGGTCTCGGGAAGTTTTGGGTTTTTTGTGCCATGTCCTCAAAGTTTACTATAGCGGCTTCCCCAAAATGGGTCAAATTCTCCCCGAAATCGGAAACTCGGGTATGTAGATAAGTGTCAGGTAGATCAGGCAATTCAGTAATAAGGATAGGAGGTCTATCGACCTATATTAATCCTTGCAGTTTTTACTACTGTGGAGGTCCGA